GAGTAATGGTGAGTGTGGGGGTGAATCATGGTGAGTGTGGGGGTGAGTCATGGTGAGTGTGGGGGTGAGTAATGGTGAGTGTGGGGATGAGTCATGGTGAGTGTGGGGGTGAGTAATGGTGAGTGTGGGGGTGAATCATGGTGAGTGTGGGGGTGAGTCATGGTGAGTGTGGGGGTGAATAATGGTGAGTGTGGGGGTGAGTAATGGTGAGTGTGAGGGTGAGTAATGGTGAGTGTGAGGGTGAGTTATGGTGAGTGTGGGGGTGAGTAATGGTAAGTGTGGGAGTGAGTCATGGTGAGTGTGGGGGTGAGTAATGGTGAGTGTGGGGGTGAGTGTAGGGGTGAGTAATGGTGAGTGTGGGGGTGATTCATGGTGAGTGTGGGGGTGAGTAATGGTGAGTGTGGGGGTGAGTAATGGTGATTGTGGGGGTGAGTCATGGTGAGTGTGGGGGTGAGTAATGGTGTGTGTGGGGGTGAGTAATGGTGAGTGTGGGGGTGAGTGGGGGTGAGTGTGGGGGTGAGTAATGGTGAGTGTGGGGGTGAGTCATGGTGAGTGTGGGGGTGAGTAATGGTGAGTGTGGGGGTGAGTAATGGTGAGTGTGGGGGTGAGTAATGGTGAGTGTAGGGGTGAGTGGGGGTGAGTGTGGGGGTGAGTAATGGTGAGTGTGGGGGTGAGTCATGGTGAGTGTGGGGGTGAGTGGGGGTGAGTGTGGGGGTGAGTGGGGGTGAGTGTGGGGGTGAGTCATGGTGAGTGTGGGGGGGAGTAATGGTGAGTGTGGGGGTGAGTCATTGTGAGTGTGGGGGTGAGTAATGGTGAGTGTGGGGGTGAGTAATGGTGAGTGTGGGGGTGAATCATGGTGAGTGTAGGGGTGAGTCATGGTGAGTGTGGGGGTGAGTAATGGTGAGTGTGGGGGTGAGTAATGGTGAGTGTGGGGGTGAGTCATGGTGAGTGTAGGGGTGAGTCATGGTGAGTGTGGGGGTGAGTAATGGTGAGTGTGGGGGTGAGTAATGGTGAGTGTGAGGGTGAGTAATGGTGAGTGTGGGGATGAGTCATGGTGAGTGTGGGGGTGAGTAATGGTGAGTGTGGGGGTGAATCATGGTGAGTGTGGGGGTGAGTCATGGTGAGTGTGGGGGTGAGTAATGGTGAGTGTGGGGATGAGTCATGGTGAGTGTGGGGGTGAGTAATGGTGAGTGTGGGGGTGAATCATGGTGAGTGTGGGGGTGAGTAATGGTGAGTGTAGGGGTGAGTAATGGTGAGTGTGGGGGTGAGTGGGGGTGAGTGTGGGGGTGAGTAATGGTGCGTGTGGGGATGAGTCATGGTGAGTGTGGGGGTGAGTAATGGTGAGTGTGGGGGTGAGTAATGGTGAGTGTGGGGGTGAGTGGGGGTGAGTGTGGGGGTGAGTAATGGTGAGTGTGGGGGTGAGTAATGGTGAGTGTGAGGATGAGTCATCATGGTGAGTGTGGGGGTGAGTAATGGTGAGTGTGGGGGTGAGTAATGGTGAGTGTAGGGGTGAGTAATGGTGAGTGTGGGGGTGAGTGGGGGTGAGTGTGGGGGTGAGTGGGGGTGAGTGTGGGGGTGAGTCATGGTGAGTGTGGGGGTGAGTAATGGTGAGTGTGGGGGTGAGTCATTGTGAGTGTGGGGGTGAGTAATGGTGAGTGTGGGGGTGAGTAATGGTGAGTGTGGGGGTGAATCATGGTGAGTGTAGGGGTGAGTCATGGTGAGTGTGGGGGTGAGTAATGGTGAGTGTGGGGGTGAGTAATGGTGAGTGTGGGGGTGAATCATGGTGAGTGTAGGGGTGAGTCATGGTGAGTGTGGGGGTGAGTAATGGTGAGTGTGGGGGTGAGTAATGGTGAGTGTGAGGGTGAGTAATGGTGAGTGTGGGGGTGAGTCATGGTGAGTGTGGGGGTGAGTAATGGTGAGTGTGGGGGTGAATCATGGTGAGTGTGGGGGTGAGTCATGGTGAGTGTGGGGGTGAGTAATGGTGAGTGTGGGGATGAGTCATGGTGAGTGTGGGGGTGAGTAATGGTGAGTGTGGGGGTGAATCATGGTGAGTGTGGGGGTGAGTCATGGTGAGTGTGGGGGTGAATAATGGTGAGTGTGGGGGTGAGTAATGGTGAGTGTGAGGGTGAGTAATGGTGAGTGTGAGGGTGAGTTATGGTGAGTGTGGGGGTGAGTAATGGTAAGTGTGGGAGTGAGTCATGGTAAGTGTGGGGGTGAGTAATGGTGAGTGTGGGGGTGAGTGTAGGGGTGAGTAATGGTGAGTGTGGGGGTGATTCATGGTGAGTGTGGGGGTGAGTAATGGTGAGTGTGGGGGTGAGTAATGGTGAGTGTGGGGGTGAGTCATGGTGAGTGTGGGGGTGAGTAATGGTGTGTGTGGAGGTGAGTAATGGTGAGTGTGGGGGTGAGTGGGGGTGGGTGTGGGGGTGAGTAATGGTGAGTGTGGGGGTGAGTCATGGTGAGTGTGGGGGTGAGTAATGGTGAGTGTGGGGGTGAGTAATGGTGAGTGTGGGGGTGAGTAATGGTGAGTGTAGGGGTGAGTGGGGGTGAGTGTGGGGGTGAGTAATGGTGAGTGTGGGGGTGAGTGGGGGTGAGTGTGGGGGTGAGTGGGGGTGAGTGTGGGGGTGAGTCAGGGTGAGTGTGGGGGTGAGTAATGGTGAGTGTGGGGGTGAGTCATTGTGAGTGTGGGGGTGAGTAATGGTGAGTGTGGGGGTGAGTAATGGTGAGTGTGGGGGTGAATCATGGGGAGTGTAGGGGTGAGTCATGGTGAGTGTGGGGGTGAGTAATGGTGAGTGTGGGGGTGAGTAATGGTGAGTGTGGGGGTGAATCATGGTGAGTGTAGGGGTGAGTCATGGTGAGTGTGGGGGTGAGTAATGGTGAGTATGGGGGTGAGTAATGGTGAGTGTGAGGGTGAGTAATGGTGAGTGTGGGGATGAGTCATGGTGAGTGTGGGGGTGAGTAATGGTGAGTGTGGGGGTGAATCATGGTGAGTGTGGGGGTGAGTCATGGTGAGTGTGGGGGTGAGTAATGGTGAGTGTGGGGGTGAGTCATGGTGAGTGTGGGGGTGAGTAATGGTGAGTGTGGGGGTGAATCATGGTGAGTGTGGGGGTGAGTAATGGTGAGTGTGGGGGTGAATCATGGTGAGTGTAGGGGTGAGTCATGGTGAGTGTGGGGGTGAATAATGGTGAGTGTGGGGGTGAGTAATGGTGAGTGTGAGGGTGAGTAATGGTGAGTGTGAGGGTGAGTCATGGTGAGTGTGGGGGTGAGTAATGGTAAGTGTGGGAGTGAGTCATGGTGAGTGTGGGGGTGAGTAATGGTGAGTGTGGGGGTGAGTGTAGGGGTGAGTAATGGTGAGTGTGGGGGTGATTCATGGTGAGTGTGGGGGTGAGTAATGGTGAGTGTGGGGGTGAGTAATGGTGATTGTGGGGGTGAGTCATGGTGAGTGTGGGGGTGAGTAATGGTGTGTGTGGAGGTGAGTAATGGTGAGTGTGCGGGTGAGTAATGGTGAGTGTGGGGGTGAGTAATGGTGAGTGTGGGGGTGAGTAATTTTGAGTGTAGGGGTGAGTAGTGGTGAGTGTAGGGGTGAGTAATGGTGAGTGTGAGGGTGAGTCATGGTGAGTGTGGGGGTGAGTAATGGTGAGTGTGGGGGTGAGTAATGGTGAGTGTGGGGGTGAGTGGGGGTGAGTGTGGGGATAAGTGGGGGTGAGTGTGGGGGTGAGTCATGGTGAGTGTGGGGGTGAGTCGTTGTGAGTGTGGGGGTGAGTCATGGTGAGTGTGGGAGTGAGTAATGGTGAGTGTGGGGGTGAGTAATGGTGAGTGTAGGGTGAGTAATGGTCAGTGTGGGGGTGAGTAATGGTGAGTGTGGGGGTGAGTAATGATGAGTGTGGGGGTGAGTGTAGGGGTGAGTAATGGTGAGTGTGGGGGTGAGTTAATGGTGAGTGTGGGGGTGAGTTAATGGTGAGTGTAAGGGTGAGTCATGGTGAGTGTGGGGGTGAGCGATGGTGAGTGTAAGGGTATGAATGAGTTTAGGGGTGAGGGTAAGAGTGTGTGATTGACGAGCTGAGAGTAATTGTGAGTAATGGTGAGTGTGGGGGTGAGTAATGGTGAGTGTGAGGGTGAGTAATGGTGAGTGTGGGGGTGAGTAATGGTGAGTGTGGGGGTGAATCATGGTGAGTGTGGGGGTGAATCATGGTGAGTGTAGGGGTGAGTCATTGTGAGTGTGGGGGTGAGTAATGGTGAGTGTGGGGGTGAGTCATGGTGAGTGTGGGCGTGAGTCATGGTAAGTGTGTGGGTGAGTAATGGTGAGTGTGGGGGTGAGTAATGGTGAGTGTGAGGGTGAGTAATGGTGAGTGTGAGGGTGAGTCATGGTGAGTGTGGGGGTGAGTAATGGTAAGTGTGGGAGTGAGTCATGGTGAGTGTGGGGGTGAGTAATGGTGAGTGTGGGGGTGAGTAATGGTGAGTGTGAGGGTGAGTAATGGTGAGTGTGAGGGTGAGTCATGGTGAGTGTGGGGGTGAGTAATGGTAAGTGTGGGAGTGAGTCATGGTGAGTGTGGGGGTGAGTAATGGTGAGTGTGGGGGTGAGTAATGGTGAGTGTGGGGGTGAGTAGTGGTGAGTGTGGGGGTGAGTAGTGGTGAGTGTAGGGGTGAGTAATGGTGAGTGTGAGGGTGAGTCATGGTGAGTGTGGGGGTGAGTAATGGTGAGTGTGGGGGTGAGTGATGGTGAGTGTGGGGGTGAGTGGGGGTGAGTGTGGGGGTGAGTCATGGTGAGTGTGGGGGTGAGTAATGGTGAGTGTGGGGGTGAGTAATGGTGAGTGTAGGGGTGAGTGGGGGTGAGGGTGGGGGTGAGTAATGGTGAGTGTGGGGGTGAGTAATGGTGAGTGTGGGGGTGAGTGTGGGGGTGAGTGGGGGTGAGTGTGGGGGTGAGTGTGGGGGTGAGTGGGGGTGAGTGTGGGGGTGAGTGGGGGTGAGTATGGGGGTGAGTCATGGTGAGTTGTTTCCTGCAGGTGCCGCTGGACTCGATGGGGCTCCCGCCCCCCCTCCTGCTGTGGCTGCTGCCCGCGGGGGCGCTGCTGCTGCTGCTGCCCCCCCCGCGGGGAGGTGAGGGGAGGGGCTCCTTCCCCCGCGACGTCGAGGCGATCTCGCTGGTGGAGGCTTCGTGTGAGTGGGGTGACCTCCCCCACATGTACAGCGTGGTGTGTGTACTGTGTGTGTGGTGTGTGTGTACTGTGTGTGTACTGTGTGTGTGGTGTGTGTGTGTGTGTACTGTGTGTGTGCTGTGTGTGTGTGTACTGTGTGTGTACTGTGTGTGTGTGCTGTGTGTGTGTGTGTGCGCACTGTGTGTGTGTACTGTGTGTGTACTGTGTGTGTGTACTGTGTGTGTAGGTGTTGTGGTGTGTGCTGTGTGTACTGTGTGTGTGGTGTGTGGTGTGTGTACTGTATGTGTGTACTGTGTGTGTGTACTGTGTGTGGTGTGGTGTGTGCGGTGTGGTGTGTACTGTGTGTGTGGTGTGTGTGTGTACTGTGTGTGTGTTCTGTGCTGTGTAGTGTGTGTGTACTGTGTGTGCACTGTGTGTACTGTGTGTGTGTGTACTGTGTGTGTGTGTACTGTGCGTGTGCTGTGTGTGTGTGTACTGTGTGGTGTGTGTACTGTGTGTGTGTGTGCTGTGTGTGTGTACTGTGTGGTGTGTGTGTGTGTACTGTGTGTGTGTGTGGTGTGTGTGTGTTCTGCGTGTGTGTGTGGTGTGTGTACTGCGTGTGTGTGCAATGTGTGAGTGGTGTGTGTACTGTGTGTGTGTGTGTGGTGTGTGTACTGTGTGTGTGGTGTGTGTGTACTGTGTATGTACTGTGTGTGTGGTGTGTGTACTGTGTGTGTGGTGTGATGTGTGTCCTGTGTGTGTGTGGTGTGATGTGTGCACTGTGTGTGTGTGGTGTGTGTACTGTGTATGTGTGTACTGTGTGTGTGGTGTGTGTGTGTAATGTGTGTGTGTGTACTGTGTGTGTGGTGTGATGTGTGTACTGTGTGTGTACTGTGTGTGTGTGGGTGGTGTACTGTGTGTGTGTGTGGTGTGTGTGTACTGTGTGTGTGTGTGTTCTGTGTGTGTACTGTGTGTGTGATGTGTGTCCTGTGTGTGTAATGTGTGTGTGTGTGTACTGCGTGTGTACTGTGTGTGTGTACTGTGTGTGTGATGTGTGTACTGTGTGTGTACTGTATGTGATGTGTGTACTGTGTGTGTACTGTGTGTGTGTGTGATGTGTGTACTGTGTGTGTGTGTGATGTGTGTACTGTGTGTGTGATGTGTGTACTGTATGTGTACTGTGTGTGTGATGTGTGTACTGTGTGATGTGTGTACTGTGTGTGTACTGTGTGTGTGATGTGTGTACTGTGTGTGTGTGTGTACTGCGCAGACACGGCGCGGCACCCGGCGTTCGTGGGGGGCCCAGCCCCGGGGGTATCGACCCCGGAGGGGGGCGGCGCTCCCCCCTCGCTTCACTTGCAGCTGATGGCGCAGGTGGGGAGGGAGCTCCTCCTGGGCGGCAGGTGGGGACCCGAGCCCCGCCCCTCTTTCCCCCACAGAGCCCCGCCCCTCAGCCCCCTTAAAGCCCCGCCCCTCACCCCCCAGCCTCGCCTCTCACACCCCCACAGAGCCCCGCCCCTCTTTCCATCTCAAGGTTCCATCTCCACGCGCCCCCCGTCTCCTTTCATCTTCAAATTAAACCTGTTTGTGTTCACGTGGTTGTGTTCACCCGGTTGAGATCACGTGGTTGTGTTCACCTGATTGAGATCACGTGGTTGTGTTCACGTGGTTGTGTTCACGTGGTTGGGTTCACCTGGTTGAAATCACGTGGTTGTGTTCACCTGGTTGAGATCACGTGGTTGTGTTCACCTGGTTAAGATCACCTGGTTGTGTTCACGTGGTTGTGTTCACCTGGTTGAGATCACGTGGTTGGGTTCACCTGGTTGAGATCACGTGGTTGTGTTCACCTGGTTGAAATCACGTGGTTGTGTTCATCTGGTTGTGTCTCGCAGGGATCACGTGGTTGTGTTCACCTGGTTGTGTCTCGCAGGGATCACGTGGTTGGGTTCACCTGGTTGAGATCACGTGGTTGTGTTCAGCTGGTTGTGTCTCGCAGGGATCACGTGGTTGTGTTCACCTGGTTGTGTTCACCTGGTTGTGTCTCGCAGGGATCACGTGTACAGCCTGGATCTGGACGCGCGGCACGGACCAGAAATCGGGTTCAGCAAAGTGAGGGGAGGGGCGGGGGGGGACAGGGGGGTGTTCATGAGCGTGTAAGCGTGCTGGGGAGTTCTTGGAGTGATGGAGTGAGAGTGTGTGAGAAAGCGTGGAGAGTGTGAATGAGTGAGAGTCCGAGTGAGGGTGAGAATGAGTGAGTGTGCGAGTGAGGGTGTGAGTGAGTGAGAGTGCGAGTATGAATGAGCGCGAGTGTGAATGAGCGCGAGTGTGAATGAGCGCGAGTGTGAATGAGCGTGAGTGTTAATGAGCGCGAGTGTGAATGAGTGCGAGTATGAATGAGTGCGAGTGTGAATGAGTGAGGGTGAGTATATTCTTTTGGTAAAGTCACGTAGGTAAAAAATGAAATTAAAATTAATAAAAATAAAACAATAAAAAATCAAAATCACGACGTTTCGGAGGCAACACAAGTCTCCGTCATCAGGATGAGAATGAGTGTGAGTGAGTGGGAGTGAATGACTGAGTGTGAGTGTGTGAGGGGTGTGGGTCTCAACACGTCTTCCCCGTGTCACAGAGACTCGTATGGAGAGCAAGCGTCGACGAGCAGCGGCCGTGCGCGTGGAAGGGGAAGAGAGCGGTGAGCAGAGAGAGAGAGAGTGTGGTGAGAGTGTGGTGAGAGTGTGGTGAGAGTGTGGTGAGAGTGTGGTGAGAGTGTGGTGAGAGTGGTGAGAGTGTGGTGAGAGAGAGACCTCGACGAGTGGAGCCCCAGGGACCATGGCCATACCAGCAGCACAGTAATGACCCCCTGTGTGAGTCTATGAGTCTCTGCATGAGTCTATGAGTCTCTGCGTAAAGTCTATGAGTCCCTGCGTGAGTCTATGAGTCTCTGTGTGAGTCTATGAGTCCCTGCGTGAGTATATGAGTCTCTGCATGAGTCTCTGCATGAGTCTATGAGTCTCTGTGTGAGTCTACGAGTCTCTGCGTGAGTCTGAGTCTCTGCGTGAGTCTATGAGTCTCTGTGTGAGTCTGCGAGTCTCTGCGTGAGTCTGAGTCTCTGCGTGAGTCTATGAGTCTCTGCATGAGTCTACGGGTCTTTGCGTGAGTCTATGAGTCTCTGCGTGAGTCTACGGGTCTCTGCACGAGTCTATGAGTCTATGCACGAGTCTATGAGTCTCTGTATGAGTCTATGAGTCTCTGCATGAGTCTGAGTCTCTGTGTGAGTCTACGAGTCTCTGCGTGAGTCTATGAGTCTCTGCGTGAGTCTATGAGTCTCTGCATGAGTCTACGGGTCTTTGCGTGAGTCTATGAGTCTCTGCGTGAGTCTACGGGTCTCTGCACGAGTCTATGAGTCTATGCACGAGTCTATGAGTCTCTGTATGAGTCTATGAGTCTCTGCATGAGTCTATGAGTCTCTGTGTGAGTCTACGAGTCTCTGCGTGAGTCTATGAGTCTCTACGTGAGTATATGAGTCTCTGCATGAGTCTACGGGTCTTTGCGTGAGTCTATGAGTCTCTGCGTGAGTCTACGGGTCTCTGCACGAGTCTATGAGTCTATGCACGAGTCTATGAGTCTTTGTATGAGTCTATGAGTCTCTGCGTGAGTCTACGGGTCTCTGCGTGACGCCACACGGTCGTGACCCACTGTCACCTCACGAACTGCTCCCCCCAACTTCAACCCTTCGCCCTCCCCCTAATCCCACGCCGCCTCTCCAATCTCCCCCCTGCACACAGCGCGACTGCTTCAACTACATCAAGGTGCTGCTGCTTCGCCCGAGGAGCGGGGAGGGGCAGGGGGCCACTCTCTTCATCTGTGGCACCAACGCCTTCAACCCCACGTGTCGCGACTATGAGGTGACTGTCATTCCTTCATTCCTTCCATGAGTACATCGTCCCGTCAGTCATTCGTGCCATCAATCATTTCCTCATTCATTCATTGAAGCGACAGACCTCGCGGCCGCTGGGGCTTCGTGGCCACGATTCTCCCAGGACCCCAAGTTGCCCACCGGATAAGGGAGGATCCCAGCACCCTTACGGCAGCAACACCGCTCCCCGCACACAAAGGAACACACACCAACAAAGACGAAGAGCCCCCGTGTAGCTTGTTAGCGAGCACCTATGAAGGCTGGCAATAGTACATGAAGGGGTGAGTGGCCAGCACCACACTCGGCCGCCTTTGTCTCCCCATTGGCCATGTTTACACACCGAACCAGGTATGAATGTGAGCCTGAGTTGACCTAGGGGAGGCCCAGCACTGGTTCAGATAATCGTCACTGGTGTCGGCCATTAGCGGTAATCGAACTCGGATTTCCGGGTTCATAGCACAGAGCACTAACCACTGCCCCCCACACACCAACATACACACCCCAACACCAATATATACACACACACACACACCAACACACGCAACACACACAACACACACACACACCAATATACACACACACACCAACACATACACACCAACACCAATATATACACACACACACCAAAACCAATATACACACACCAACACACACGCAACACACACACACACCAACACACATCAACACCAATATACACACACCAACACCAATACACACACACACCAACACACATCAACACCAATATACACACACACACCAACACACACACACCAACATCAATTGAGTGTCCCTGTTGGCATGCATGTTCTGCCACTGCCGACAGTTGTGTTTGTTATAGTTTAATATTTATCTGGTGTTCTTTTAGTCTTACACTAACGTTACGCCCTGTCTGTCCAATATAGCATCTGCCACATACACAATTCATCCGATATACACCTTCTGTTGATAATTTAGGTAATTCGTCTTTAGTGCACGTTACTAGTTGTTGAATTTTGTGTACTGTACCAAATCTTACTGTAATGTTTTGCTTTTGCAAAACACGGGCTAATTTGTCAGTTACTCCTGAGATAAATGGTATTTTTATTGTTTTAATAATCTGATCGCTTTCAGCAGTGTTGCTTTGCGATCGTGATTTGATCACAATAAAACACATTCCAAATGATTACTAAGCTACAACTCGCATCGTAACAATAGCCTGATTACTAATCTAGTATATAATTACAATCACTCCCCCCTTGAATCTTTGCACCTGATGAGTTAATGAGTTAATGATGACGTCACCCTGCTGCTGCTCTATATAAGAACGGGAGACACAGCAGAGCCTCACCATTCTGGCGAATTGCCCGATGAGGGGGAAACCGCCCTGGCTTGCCAGGGGAGACACCAGGAGCATCGAGGTGATCCTTCTGTAGTGGTGGTATTGACGTGCGCCGGCAGTGATGGATCACGGGGCGCGGGGTTGGGCACGCGGTGTGGGCGTGGCATGGACGCGCGCGCCGGTGGTGAGGCGCGCTCACACAAGCTGGGAAAAGAGGATCGTAGCGAGTGCGCAGTGATTGGTCAGATAAGTGAGTACTCTCAGCGACGTCCGCAGGAGGGGTATAAAGGGGGACGCGCGAGAGCACTCGTGGTCAGTGTTAACCAGTTGAAGACCGAAGACGGGGTGGAGGAGGTAGGGGCCCTGTGTGGCTCGGAGCCGAGACTGGGGGGACCGTAGTCCGACGCCCGTGTGGGTCGGGACGGTGGTACCCAGAGCCGAGACGGGCACCCCGGCTGGGTGTGTCCCGGAAGGCTACAGGGCGTAAGAGCCCGTGTCAGTACAGCTGAGTGGGTGTTGGTCACCCGTGTAGCTGAGTGGGTGTTAGTCACCCGTGTAGCTGAGTGGGTGTTGGTCACCCGTGTAGCTGAGTGGGTGTTAGTCACCCGTGTAGCTGAGTGGGTGTTGGTCACCCGTGTAGCTGAGTGGGTGTTGGTCACCCGTGTAGCTAAGTGGGTGTTGGTCACCCATGTAACGAAGTTGTAGTTGAGTGGGTGTCCGTCACCCGTGTAGCTAAGTGGGTGTTGGTCACCCGTGTAACGAAGTAGGGTGTTAGTCATCCGTGTAACTACAAGTTGGTGAAAATAAAGAGTGTGCTACCCGTGAAGTCGTCTCCTGCCGAGTTACTACTTTACAACTGGCGTCAGAAGTAAACCTGTCTTCAAGGAGAATGGACACAAGGAAGACTTCTCGTTCCCACGTGCAAGACCGGGGAGACGACGACGTACCGGTGACACCACCCTCGGGAGGAGAGGATGAGGAGTTGCCGCCGATGCAGCACTTCGCGGAAATGGCCGATGCTCCGCCCGCCTCCGACACCAGCCTGCAGGACGCACACTCCCGCCTGGCGGAGTTGCTGCTCGCCGCCGCTGCGATCTTGGCGGAGATCTCCGTTCCAGCGGCCGGTGGAACGCCTGCGGGGTTGGAAGAGGCGGCGCGGCTGGAGGGTTCCCGCCATAAGGCGTTTCGCGCCAAAAGTTTGGGAGTTGGCGCCAGTTTTGAGGGTCCGCCTCCGGTTGGCGGGAAACGCGGACACCACGTGGCCAGAGGTCTCCACACAGCGCAGCCCGCGTCATCGGCGAGCGCCGGAGCTCTCCATTTTGCGCCTGCAGAGGGAGCCGACATTTTCTACAACCACAGCGGCGCGCGGGAAAATCGTTCCAACGACGACGACGACGATCGAGTTCTCCAGCAACGATTGCCCGCGCTGTCGGTGTTCAAGGCGGACGGGGGCGACTGGGGAGCCTTCCAGCGACGGTTCATCGCGCATCAAGAAATGTCGGGGTGGTCCGACACCACTGCCCTGCGCGCGCTGCCAGCGATGCTCGACGACGACGCGCTTGCGGCCTTCACGTCTGCCCCGAGGTCGTCCCGCTCAACGCTCCAGGCCGCGCTGCACCTGTTGGCCAAGGTGTTCGGGCCGCCCTCGACCTGTCGCCACCAGTTCTACGATCGGCGGAAGGTGGTTGGAGAAACAACGCTCGCCTATCGCACGGCGCTGCTCGCCCTGGCGGATTCAGCTTTTCCCCGCATGGACAAGGAGGGGAAGGACGCCATGGTGACGGAGCAGCTGCTGGCGCTGGCTCACGGATTGGGAGTTCCCATTAATACGGCGGACGAGATGGACATCTGCTCCCTGGGGATTGCCACGAGTATCCACGCTTACGAGGTCCTACAGCGGAAGCCGACGGTCGTCTGCGCATCGGTGGAGAACGGGGCACCGGCCGCCACGATCATCGGACCTCAGCCTGCTGTGCCTCGGGAGGAGGCCTTCGCTGGTTCGAGGCCGGGGGAGTGGAGAACGGGAGGTCGTTCGCCCACACGCTCCTCCCGCAAGCTGGAGCAACCGAAACCTACGACGTCCCTCGTCGTCTGCTACAACTGCGGCCTTCGGGGCCACGTCGCGTCCGGGTGCCGGGCCCCGCGTCAACGCACCGCGGGACCACGTCCGGACGACGACCAGGGACTCAAGACATCCCAACTGAACCCGGCAAGTCGCGGCACCTCACACGTTCGGTCCACACGCACGGCACGTTCGGGTCGCCGCTTAGCGGTGGGGGGACCGTGTATGGGCGCCGGGGGTTCGGTTCGGCGAGAGGGGTCCGCGTACGGCCCGAAGGCAGTCGAGTGGTCCGAATTGGCCCACAGGATTGTGGCTGCGTCGGCCGGGTCGTCCGTGGTAACGGGGTACATTGACGGGGTTGAGGTCCGGGTGCTCGTGGACACGGGTGCGTCGGCCACTATTATTTCGGACCTTATTTATAATATTCTTCCCGTACAATGTCGACCACTTCTGCCGGTGGACGTACCATTTTACGCGGCAAACGGGGGATCTTTGGGAATCATCGGCCAGATTCGGGCGAATATTTGTATTGGCGACATTAAATTGGCGGGTCCTATTTTTGTATCATCATCGTTGGCCGTTCCTTGTCTACTAGGCACGGACTTTCTGTCTAAAATGCCCATAAAAATTCTCATAGACCAGGCCTGCATTGAGCTTCCGTCGGGTCGGCGGGTTGAGTTTTTGAAGAGTCCAAATAAGATACGCACGGCTTGTGCGACGGTGCAGGCGCTGGCAACCCGGACTGTACGGGTGCCCCCGGGATCGCAAATGTTGGTACCCCTTCGGTTGAGAAAACCCCTTGGGGCGGATGCGGGGGCGCAGGGAGTTCTATTGGGGCCGTCTAACAGGGCTAAAGGGGACCTCAACTTAGCGGTGGCCCAGACCATGGTGAGAGGGGACAGTGAGCCGTTCGTTGTGGTCCTGAATACGGGGTCGCGGCCGGCCGTGATTACGCAGGGAACGGTGCTCGCTCACGCCGCGCCGCTACCCGTCGAGGAACAGCTCGTTGCTCACGCCGATTCGCATGTCGATACGCATCCCCAAAGTGAGGAGGGGACGGAGTGGTTGGACTCGTTGTGTGCCGGGTCCAGTACCTTGTCCAGTGTGCAGTTGGGTGCATTGAGGGGCTTGCTGCTCGAGTTCGCTGACGTGTTTAGCAGGCACAAGTACGACATTGGCTGCACAGACCTGTTGCGCCACCACATAGAGACTGGGGACGCGGCCCCTATTCGACAGAATCCCTTCCGGCTCAGTCCAGCCGAGAAGGAGCATGTGCAGTCGGCAGTAAATGACATGTTGGCGGCCGACATCATTGCGCCCTCTTCCAGTCCGTGGGGTGCTCCTATCGTCTTGGTTAAAAAACAGGATGGATCCCTGCGGTTCTGTGTTGATTTCCGCCGCCTAAACAAAATATCAATGGCCGATGCGTATCCGCTCCCCAGGATGGATGAGTCGCTGGATGCCTTGGCAGGAGCACAGTTTTTTTCGACGCTCGATTTGCTTTCGGGATTTTGGCAATTGCCCCTCGATGACGAATCAAAACCTAAAACCGCTTTCCGGACACCGGGAGGCCTATTTGAGTTCAACCGATTGCCCATGGGTTTACATT